TTTACAAGAGCTGCAGTAAAACTAGTCCATCTATTCTGAATGTAGATGGCTAATTTTCAGAAAGTCTGAAAAAGATGAAAAGTTTGGTACCGAATGTTTGACAATGTGGTATTTTACAGATTTGAGGAACTGCAAAAAGCTGTAAATATCTGATGTTTGGTGGACATTAAAAGCTGAATGATACCTTTCCTATGGTAAAATTATAGGCATCAAACAATTGAGAACATTATTACAGATCTAAGCTCATCATTAGCTGTACACAGAATTCAAAGGGATCAAGGAATGACCTTTCTCTGTGTCAATTAACTATGCAGTCACGTCATAACATTATTACTTAATGTATTAAAGTAGCACTCATGATCTGGCAATAGAATGCATAAATTCTTCCTCTCAGTAGTAGTTGGTATAAAAGAAGCTGAGTTCACAATTAGAAACTTACTCAAGGTAAGTTAATTTTTATTGAGTTCCAAATCATATTCAATCACTAGGTGAAAAATCTATTGTTTACAGGGACGTTTTTACATATAACTGAAATACATTGTGGAAATTACTAGTTAAGTGTACTAGCAACAATAATGAGAATTTCACAACACTATGACAAATTGCTTTCGATAATGAAGTAGAAATATGAAGATAAGTTTGCATCACAGCTTTCTCAGTAAAACATGAAGGAAATGCAAATCAGCTAGGCAGACTAACTTCCTGTTTGAAGGAAACTCTCGATTGTAAATTGTAGATTTTTATTCAGCATGTGTCAGGATTGAAGCCGTTGCAATAATTACTCAGAGAGTGAACACTGAATGAGTTCACCCTCCATTCCATCGTACCTACCTTACACAAGTCAACATGCCTTCCCTGTCTGATTCACCTTTGCATGGCTTACTCTCTCGTCTTTACTACAAACTTTCCTTTGTGTTCCTTCCTAGCCAGAATCGATCTGTTGGGTGGCTGGGGTTTTTAAGGAAAAATGCAAGCAAAGAAAAAGCTGGCAGAAGGGCAGTGGACGGACAATGACAGCAAGTGTAGGGTGTGGTGTTAAAATGAAACATCCTCTCCATGCGGTTGCGGCAGCAGTAGAAGCCTGGGCTACGAGACTTGTGCACCATGACCGCGGGTACCGGCTGGTGCCTCCCGTCCTCCTCACGCTCTCCCTCCATCGCCGCAGCCTCCAGGCTCGGCCCTGGCAGGTCCCCACCCCTCGTCCCCACAGCACGCAGGTGTACCCGCTGCGGCCGCCCCCTCTTCCTTCCTCAGGCCCGCACCCCTCATCCCGCTCACTTCCTTCTCTTGGAAAACCAACACGTTCTCCAAAGCAGCTCGAACCCCTTCATATGCTGCCAGTATCTACTTTTCAGTTGGAGTGTAGTGGTCCTCAGATCCTATGTATCCCCGACTCCACAACCCCAGGGGTTGACCCCAAGTTTCCCCTGATGCTCTTTGCCTGAGACCCCAGGTAGGGCCATTCTTCCCGGCTGCAGTGTAGAGCACATTTTTAA